AAGACTCCATTCATTTCAACATGAGAAAAACGTGGTTCAATTTGCTCCCACAAGAGGTAGCAACAGGTACCAATCTGGACAGCTTTAAAAGAGGATTAGACATTTCATGGTGGATAAGAAAGCTATCAATGCCTACTAGTCACAAGGGCTGTGTAGAACCTCCACAAAGAATTATGGAGGCTGTAGCTATGATTCCCAGAGTTCCTTGGAAAGAGGAACTGATTGTTAAATTGCTCTAGGTGATAATATTGATGGTGTCTTTGCACTAGGCTTTCCTTCTCTCCCTCCCTTCTCCCTCTGCTGAAGCCTGATGGAATTGCAACTGTTAGGTGACAGCTGATAGTGGGACAAGTCTGGTGGAGCTGGTTTCTCAGGTAAGTTATTGGAGTAGGCTTACTTCACTCTTCATTCCTGCTTCCTCTGCAGCAGCATCATGGGATAGATGCTGCTAGGTGATGGTAGAAGGAGGGGCCTGATGGAGCTGGTTCCTCAGAAGAGTTGACTGAATGGCCCTCCTTCTCCTCAACCTTGCTCTGCTATGGTCTGTTGGAATACCTTTTGTTTGTTTTGTAATAGATTTGGGGGGATCCACCTAAGCCCTAGAATTTAATAAATGGTAGGATTTTGATTATTTGGGATGAGATGGGAGAAATACCAGCTGCACAAGAATTTCCTGGCTAGCCTATGCAAAACGACTTGGCCAAGCTAGGGCCATTAAGAAACAATACAGGGCCATCGAGAGCCATTGGCAATGCAAGAAAACTCCTTCCCCTTGGCCTGAGGTGTGAACAGAGACTGGGGGGTTGGAAGCTTGCCAGGGTAACTGGGGGTGAGGAAAGGAGAGTTTTTAGCAAGGTGATCTGGGAAGAAGAGAAAATGGTGGGATGGCTGATGGTTGACTGGGAGAGATGTCTTGGATTCCAGGGCTGCACTACAGTGGGGGACAAGTCCCTCTTGAAATGACCATGCTGTAAGATCTGGACACCATGCAGACTGAAGGTGTAAATAGGTGAATAAACCATATTTCTTAAACTATGAGAGTCTCTGCCATACAGGGGTACCTTGGTTCTCAAACACCATGATACTCAAACAACTTAGAACCCAAACACTGCAAACCCGGAAGTAAATGTTCCGGTTTGCGAACTTTTTTTGGGAAGCCGAGCGTGCTCCGTTTTGATTGTTACGCTTCTGATTTGAGTGCCACACTTCTGTTTTGAATGTTATGCTGAGGTCTCTGTTTTTGCTATTTATTTCGTGTTTTGTTGGCTTTTTTTGTGGCTGTGTGGAACCCAGTTCAGCTCCTGATTGATTGATTATGTGACTGCAGTACATTATTTATTGCTTTCATTTTATGGATCAATGGTCTCATTAGATAGTAAAATTCATATTAAATTGCTGTTTTCAGGGTTGTTTTTAAAAGTCTGGAACGGATTAATCCATTCTGCATTACTTTCTATGAGAAAGCACACCTTGGTTTTGGAACGCTTTGGTTTTGGAACGGACTTCCAGAACAGATTAAGTTTGAGAACCAAGGTACCAATGTATATCAATTCTCCAAAGGAACACAGACCCTGGAACCCCCAAGAATCTTGCAGAGAATGGGGGGTGGCACATGACTTTTGTAGCAGTTTGTTTTTGTTTAGCAGTTGTGGAAACCTCTTATGCCCAGGTGCCAAATAGTGATGATTCATGATGATCTTTTCCCCACCTGGCCTACTTATTGAGTTAGTCAACTGAGGACTTGCTTTGCAAGTCATTGTAGTATAGTGATTAGAATGCTGATAGAGATGAGGGTTCTAATCCCCTCTCAGCCAAAAAGCTCAGTGGGTGACCTTAGGCAGGTCACAGTCTCTCAGCCTAACCTACCTCACAGGGAAGCTGTGAGGATACAGTGGAGGGAGCAGGAGAACAGCAAGTGTGCCATCGAACTCCTTGGAGGAAAAGTAGAACATAAATGCAGTAAGTAAGTAAATAAATATTAATATGTCAGAAGTCTGGTAGCAGATGACGGTGCTCCAACAGAAAATTGTATGTCATTCAGGATGGAACATCAACTCGAATGGACCATTTTCAGCTTCAACTTTTGCATTTCCCCTCAGAAGAGCTCTCGTGAGTTACACTACATGGCAATAAAGATCTGTTCCATTTTGAACCTTATTGTGTAATTTTAAGTACCTTTATTCTGAGGGGGCTTCTGTGCAAAACAAATGCAGACCACCATCCAAAATCCTGTTCTCACAGTGGCCAATCAGATGATTCTAGGAAGCCCACAAACAAGTGATGAGGGCTGTCCTTCTCTCCAGTGGCGTTTGATATCCCAATGGGAAGCTGTTCCACAGCTGTAAGTACAGTATTCAGAGATGTACTGTCTTTGAAAGTAATATATATTCATCACAACTAAGAGCCATAGACTAGTCCAAGAGGATTTCAGTGGTCCATACTTCTTATATGAGACATCTTTCTTCTAGGGCAGGTATAAGGTGTAACCTCTCTGAGAAACATGTCTGGGTTTTTGCAGCCAGTCTTTAGGTGTTTCCTCAAATCCCACTGAGGAGGAACTTTCAGATTTCAAGTCACACTTTCACTTTGTTCAAGGGCAGCTCTGTATTTTAATATTCCCCCTTGTGCCTAGTCATGCTCAGCCATGAAGCTCTCTGGTTGACCTTGAACCATGATTCTTAGGATTCCCAGTCAACACAATATGACTTACTTCTGAGTAGACATGTGCAGGATTGAACTGTAAAAAATAGTTGTGTTTATTGGCAAATGAACTGTGGTTTTTGTTTACTTTTACTTTTTTGTTGTTGGCCATAGACAGTGTGAGGTAGTAATGGACTGGTATTTTGAAAATTTGAAATAGCCCATAATTAAAATGTCATGTTTGTGGGGAATGTAATGATTATGGGAGATAGTTGCAATAGCACCTCATTAGTACTCACATAAAATTGATGGTGTGGGATTTAATTGTATGTTTCCTTGGTATTTGATTTCTATCACATTTCTGTTGCTACCTCTGAAGCCATAGATGAGGAACTTCCACAAATCCAGATTTTGAACTATGACTCCAGTGATCCCTGGCCATTGGCCACACCAGTGGAAAGTGCTCTGTTAGGGAAAGTGGGGGCACTGTCCTACCAAACTCAGTCTGCTTTTAGCCTTCACCCACCTTCCTGACTTCTTGCTTATAACCAGCCCAGGAGATAATTCAGACTGTTAGCTTCCTACCCCTCCTCCTTGGTCTCAGTGTTGCCCTTATATAACCCATCAGGGAGAAGGAAAGAGACAAAATTAGAATAAGTTGGCTTTGTCTGTCATTGACTTTCCCTGATTACCACCCAACCAATCCCAATGGACAACATCCACCACTGGGCCATGTTGGCTGGGGATAATGGGAATTGGAGTCTGCAACGTGCACAGAGAAACATGCCCACTTACTTATCTAGAATTAGCCCATTTGTCTATCTAGGTAAGTATTATCTACACCAGGAATGGGGAATCTGTGGTCCTCCAGATGTTACCAAGCTACAACTTTTGACCATTGGCTCTGCTGACCACTGGGTCTGGTGGTAGCTGGGAATCCAACAACATCTGAATAGACATGGGCTCCCTAGCCCTCTATGAGTGCTTTTAATGTATGATCCCTGATTGGTTGGGACATTATTGGACTAGGACAGGTGTGGGGAATTCACGGCCCTCTGGATATTGCTGGATTACATATCCCATCATCCCTGACCATTGGCCATACTGGCCGGGACTGATGGGAATTAGAGTCCAACAACATCAGGTTCCCCATCCACGTTCTAAATCATAGGGTGGAATCTAATTAGGTGGAGTAAGTACTACATATATTTTTGTACAATGCATTTTATTGTCTAAGCAACAAAGCCAAAGAACATTTTCAAATGCCTTTAATGATGTCATCAGATGGACTTTGCAAGTATCTTTGCATGACATAAGTTATGGTTGGTCCTCCCCACCTGGTCCTCCTCCATCTTGTCTCCTTCGCTAAAATGTTGACATTTACTGTATTAATATCCAAACAGTGTTTCGTAACTTTGTGGCCCACAAAAGAAACCGGTGTGTGCACGCTTAGTGCATCTTACTTCTGAGTATGCAGGTTTAGGATTGCAGTGAATTACTGCGAAGTGTATGCCTGCTAATGTTCTTCATGGTACTCTCTGCTGGTGTTCTCTGCTTCCAACATACCTCTGATGAACCAGATGCTTTTGTTTCATAATATTATTTATTTCACCTCCTATGTACACAGCACTCTACATAGCATAAGAAGAAAGGTATCTGGCTCAAGGAATGTACAAATCTGCATTAGGTGTGCCTAATGACACAGAGGCTCAACAATACCCTCCAAAGAGGCATTGCCATTACATTTGGGTGGGCAACTCCAATGACATATAGTTCTCCCCTTTACTCACACTCGGAAAGGAAATACCTGGATGATGTAAGACTGATATTTAAATGGGAGGGGGAAATGTGCCTCTGGTACCAGCAGTTTAGGAAGCAATCTGATGGCCAACAAAGAAAGCTTTAACTGCGGGCAGACTTATGACAGGTATGGGAACCTGTGGCCCTTGAGAGGCTGATGAACTACAGTTTCCCTTGACCACTGGCAATACTGGCTGGGGTTGACTGGAGTTGTAGTTTTGCAATATCTGGATGATCCCTGGTCAGCCACCCTTGAAGTATGGTTTAGGCCAGGGAACGGGAACATAGGATCCAGCAAATAGGATGAAGTACAGCTCCAATCATCCCCAACCATTGATGATGCTCAACAGTGTCTGAAGGACCAAAGGTTCCCTTGATGCTATTTTAGGCCTACTAACTCCTCTTCCACCTCTTCCTCCACCTCCTCCCACCTCTCAACCTGCGTCTTCTGGAATGCTCTGGACATAGTCACATGAATTGCCCCACTCCAAAAAGAAAGACTCGGGCTAAAACTGTAATTCACAGCACCTGTGATTATTATTGTTGTTGTTTTCAAACTTCTACTACATGGATATACAAAATGGATGATGGCTGCCGATCCTGAACCTTTAAGGACAGGCGCCAATAACAAGTGTGGCCCCAATGTGTGGAGCATTGCTCCAGACTCCCGTTCCTAATGCAGCCCCTACTTCCTGTCCGCAGCACCTCCTGCCTGAAACAGGCCTATTGCAAGATGGCCGCCGGCAAGCCGCACCTATGCTTCATGAAGGCAAGTGGTGAAGGTGGCAAAAATGATGGGTGGCTCAGGAGGAAGGTGGCAGTACCATGGAGGCAAGTGGCATGGATCGAAGCCACATTCTGGGATTTCACAAGGCGGGGGCTCCGGGATGAGGATCTCTAGGTCTGTCAGCTTTGTTTCAGCCACAATAGCTGGTGGTTGCAATAGGAGCGTTGTTGAGGGGAGGCTTGTGCTGCAGGAGACGTTGTAGCCACAAAGCTCCCCGGGGAAAACCATGGCTATGTGGTGGGAGGCAAATCTAAAATGAAGTGGGGAAAGACACATATCACAAATAATGAAGCAATTAACCTAAAGCAGGGGTGTTCAACTTCCAAGAGACTGCGACCTACTCCCACTATGAATAAACTGGCAGTGATCTACCCATTGGATCGACCAGAATTGTTGAGTTTTTTGGGGGGGAAATGACCAAAGTTGTTAAGTTGTTGAGGGTTTTTTTTTGGAGGGGTGATTGGGCAATCGCTGGAGCTCAACCAGAAATGACCAGGGACAGCCCACAATCAACCTGTAGATCGTGATCGACCGGTTGGACAGGCCTGACCTAAAGCATTGGCCTCTAGCTATGATGGCTATGTTTCACCAACACTGTTTTGGAAGCATGTCTCTGAATACCAGTTTCTGGGAATGGCATGTGTGGCGTGTTGCACCCAGGTCCTGCCCGCGTGCTTCCCATTGGTATCTGATTGGCAGTGGCTTTCCAGGGTCTATGCAGGGTTTTCTCTGGAGGTGTCCTAGGGATTGAACCTGGGACCTTCTGCATGCAAAGATGATGCTCTACTCCGGGGATGTCCAACTCCCAAGAGACTGCAATCTTTTTTTAGGGAGGAGATTCAAAAATGTTGATAAAGGGGAAAGGGGAAAAGTTGCTCACCAAAAGATCGCTAAGGAAGCGATCAGCCTCACAGTGAAAACTCCGTCTTCCGTTCTAGCGATCATGCATGAATGGTGGATGGGGTGAGGGGGTGGGGCCAGTTGCTCTTTTGCCAACACAAAGGAACGGGAGCCCGCGATCGACTGATCTACGAACACCTCCTGGGGATTGACCAGTAGATCGTGATCGACCTGTTGGACATCCCTGCTCTACCCCACTGAGCTATGGCCTTTTCTCAATGTCTCTTCTACACAAGAGATACTTTCAGGATTCTTATATTGGGTATGAGCAAATCAACCCCCACTCTCTTCTTTCTAGATAAAGTTGGTTGGCAATTTTGACCAGAGGCCTTCTTAATTTTGTCCATCACCAGGGAGAAGAGAACTGATCATTACCACAAACAGTTTGACTGAAAAACTGCATCCTCGTTGTCATCTTCATCATCTTACTATTTTTATTATCATTACTACTATTTTACCACTACTATTACTTATTCTTATTACTACTGCTACAACTAATACCATTACTACCACTACCAATACTACTGTTACTGCTACTATTACCATCTACTATTACCAATACTATTACCATTACTACTACTATTACTATGACTATTACTCACAATCCCCAGATAGGTATAGACAAATCTATATATTTCAGATTCTCGGAGTTTCTCAAATTCTGCATATTTCTGCATCATATATACATGTCCTCACAAAAAATAATCAGAATTGTAATGCAAATTTCTTCTAATATGGACATTTTCGTTTGCATTTTTGCCTAATAATACTTATTTTTGAAAGATGCTATTTGTGCTAATATGTGTATTTTGATGCACACAGTTCCCTAATCTACATAGTTTAGAGCACATTGGGACAGGGTTGGGAAGCTGTATTGGAAATTCAGAGGAGAACAAATTTCAAAGGATGGCTGCATTTCAGTTTGTGTATTGTCTCAGGAAGTGGGGAATAAATTGGAAACCAAACTAACATCCTCCCCACATTCCATATAGTCACAGACAGGAATTTGAAGAACCCTCATAAAAACGGAACACAGCAGTGCTATTTTTCTAGAAAAAATGGTGCGGGAACTCACCGTGAACACCTCCCTCATTCTCTTTGAATGGCAATGACGTCTACCTGAGAGTTGCCAGAACTGAGTTCCAGTGAGTTCCGGCTGAAAAAATGCCCCAGAACATGGGTAGCTACTTTATTCCAAGTCAGACCATTGGTCCACCTTTCTCAGTATTATCAACCCTGGCAGCAGTTTCTAAGGATTTAAGATAAGGAATTTCGCCCAGTCTTACTCAGAGATATACCTTACTCAGCCTTACTCAGAGATATACCTTCAGTATACCTGAAGGTGCGTCTCCACCCCCATCATTCAGCCTGGACACTGAGGTCCAGCTCCGAGGGCCTTTTGGCGGTTCCCTCCCTGTGAGAAGTGAGGTTACAGGGAACCAGGCAGAGGGCCTTCTCAGTAGTGGCACCTGCCCTGTGGAATGCGCTCCCAGTAGATGTCAAGGAGGTAAACATCTATCTGATTTTTAGAAGAAGACATCTGAAGGCAGCCCTGTTTAGGGAAATTTTTAATGTCTGGTGTTTTATTGTGCTTTTAATTCTGTCAGGAGCCACCCAGAATGGCTGGGGAAACCCAGCCTGATAAGTGGGATATAAATTTATTATTATTATTATTATTATTATTATTATTATTATTATTGCCAGGAATAGAGGCTGTGACCTTCTGCATGCAAAGCAGATGTTCTACCACTGAACTATGCATATTCCACTTCACCAGTCATCTTGTTCTTTTTGTTACCTGTAAAATCCCTTGGCTGTTTCATCTACCCCCACGCCACCCTCCACCCCCACATCAATCTGGCGTGTTGCTTTAAGCCTGCAACCCCCAGTTTTGCATGCATAAAAGAGAACTAAAAATATGTAACCATAAATATCCCATAACACTTAGCCACATAGCTACTGAGAGAATATTGGGGCAGCCAGTTTCTGCACACCCATTTTATTGCATCTAAATAGCCACTTGAACTCCTTTTTTAATACAAAAAACTTGTTGTGTGTGAAAGCCAGACACCAGGCATAACAGCACAAACCACTCCTAGGTTGTAAGCATCCAATGCGACTTTTACTCTGAGTAGACCAATTGAAATTAATGAGTCTAAGGTAGTCATCCTCCTTAACTTCAATGAGACTTCTCTCAGTAAGACTCACATTGGATATAACCCCCCCCCCAAAAAAAAACCCTGCTGTGATGAAGGATTGTTTGGATGACATCTAGGTTTCCCTATGCATAGCCTTGTCTTGCTATGCTAGCCTTCATCAATGCAGGAGACCCACCACTAAGGAATTTCCCCAAGACATCTGCCGAAATGACAGACAGGTGGAAGCTATGGCTGGTGGCATTTCCATCAGCAATAGCCCATGGAACCTTCTGAAACATAGCTTTCAGAGTTAGAGGTAAGATGGCAAGGGATCTCAAGATGACCCTGCTGCCGTCGCGTGATAGCAATGGGCCTGATCCAGGCCTCTTTTCCTGTACCAGCCTGGGAACTGGCACAGCAAAGAGGCATCCCCTTTTATCTTCCACCCCCGGCTCTCATGAGCATTGGGACTATGGCAGGATCGAAGGCTTAGCTGATCCCTCAAGCCCTGCTGCTTTTAGCCACAAGGTTAACATGCCATTTGCCCTGCTACCTGCAAGTAAGCCACGCTCAATATAGTGGGTTTTTTTCCTCTCAGCAAACATGCACTTTAAGCAAAAGCAAAAACTCCTACCCCACAATTGGTGTTTCATTTGCTATACAGAGATCTGAGCCCCTTGCCTTTGAACAGACCTTACCTGATTCTTCACAAGTTTCAGCAGATTGGGCTGGAAGAGAGCGGAGGAGGAAGAGCTCTTATACCATCTGCTCAGGAGCCTCGTGGGTAGGAAACACCCTCTGCTCATGTGGCTCCAATTTTCCCGCATGCCTCGCGCTTCTCTGAAATTGCTATAATTGTTCCTCCTCCCTGATTACAGCAATTGAGCGTTGTCTCTCAGCACCTGGTTTTAATATAGGGCAGCAACACATTGCTGTTACACCCTTCTGCTTCCTTTTAATTGTATCGAGGGAACATTGGAGCACCAAACCAATGCTGATTTCAGCAATCCTTGGTTTGGAAAACTGCCTGTTCCCAGACTCTCAGGCTTTTTTCCCAACAAGTCAGAAGCAGTCGTCTTCCTGAGATGCTCCCTCACTCCCAAAAGCAACTTTTAATTTCGCTTGCCTGCCTTTGAAAGTGTCAGAACGTTTGTTTGTTTTTTGTTTGCTGAAAGCCAGCCCAGACTTAGAACGTGCACCTCACATTTCCTTCAAGTTTGTCCAGAACCCTCCGAGGCACAGTTTGTCTAAAGCTGATTAATAAACTAATGGCTGTGATTCATCTTCTCTATAGCTTGTTTCATGGTGGGGACAGGAGAAAACAGCTGTCTCGGAGACTTATCTTCAAGGATCACCAGACACTTTAAATTAATCCCTTGCAGTCACTACATCAGTGTCTTTTGAACCTGAAAGCTGTTTTCTATGATATGTAAATCAACTGCAGGGTTGTTGTTAATGATTTTGAAGGATAGCGGCAGTCTGCGCTAGTCTAATCTCCAGCACACTGCAATTCTGAGGTTATTATTGGATCTACAAAGTGGCTACAAAGTGGCTTCTTAGACTCACACTTTTTCTTAGGACCTCTTCTGTGTCAACCCCAACCACTTAGGGGTGTGTGTTTGTGTGTGGAGACATCAGACTTTATGGCAGGGTGGAACCTGTGGTCTTCTACATGTTGTAGAAGTTGGAGTTGCACCATAGTGTTGACCATGCTAGCTGAGATGATGGTAGGTTGTAGTCCAACAACAGATGGAGGGCCACAGGTGTTCTCCATCATTGAACTAGACCACCACTTCCCTTTCATAGCTACTACCACCACAAATCTGTTTTCTTCTAACACAGGGACTAGGAACAAAACAAACAATTAAACGCGGAAAAGTACAAATAGCACCTCCACTCTCAATTCATAAAGTCTTTTTCACAGTTCGTTTACATTCGGCCATAGTTATTGTGTGGTTGGGGGCAAAAGAGGGGGGGGGACCTATTTATATTTTTATTTTTATTGGCATTGTCAGAGATTGGAGGTTCCAGAGCTTGGTTGGTTGTGTTTGGCTGGTTGCAGTATAGTTTGTTTGTATGTGTGAGGGTGGAGTGGGGTTGTCAGGTCAGATTAGCAATATTGATTCATATGCTGTTGTGGGGGATAGGTCATTGTCTTATTATGCCTGGCCACCTCATGAGAAGAGAAGACTCCCTGGAAAAAACCCTGATGTTGGGAAAGATTGAGGGCACAAGGAGAAGGGGACGACAGAGGATGAGGTGGTTGGATAGTGTTATCAAAGCTACCAGCATGAGTTTGACCAAACTGTGGGAGGCCATGGAAGACAGGAGTGCCTGGCATGCTCTGGTCCATGAAGTCACAAAGAATCGGACACAACTAAACGACTAAACAACAACAACAACAAATGTGATAAAGGGGTGCCAAACTAGGGTGAAGGCATCCTCCTTCACTTGTCCCCTTTTAGGTTAAGTTTGTTGGTTAAATTTTCTAGCAGGGCAGTTTCCCATATATTTTGGTACCTTTGTCCACTCCTGATAGGTCCTTCCAGTGTCTAGTTAGAATATTCCTAGCTGCTGAGAGTAAGTGACTTATGAGTTCCTTGTCGTGTGTTATTGTCCTGGAAAACAGGATATGCCTTATTGCACTAGGGTTCAACTAGTTTCTCTGTATGAAGTGTAGGAAGCTGCTGTGTAGTCAAACCCTCAATCCATCTAACTCGGTATCATCAACACCAGTAGCCTTCAACTGGTGAGTCAGGACCCACCAGTGGGTCACAGCATGATCCAAGGACGGTCACAATAGGAGCACTGCCACCATGAAAATATATGGTAAAAGATTAAGAAATAGATCCCAAATGTACGTTTGGATTAAAAGCAGGTTTTGGAAGGGTTGAAGATGTCTGCTTTATTGAATCAGTTTGTCAAAGAAGCACCTGCCAAATTCTTCCAGCATCTTGTTATCATGAGCTAGACCGCTGACAAAAAACAACAACAACTTATTAAGGGTTTGAGCTGTAAGTCAGTGGGGCTTTCTGTTGGCTAATGCCAGCAGGAACCTGTTCATGACCTGACACTTCTGTCCATGCACACATTCGGGGATTGGAAGGGGAAATGCGACAATCATGAAGCTGGCAGAGGCTGGCAGGCCTGGACCCATCTACCACCACTGAGTCTGGCAAAAAGGGTTTTTAAAAATTGCTCTGCGAATCAGGAATGGTGTTTGCCAGCCTTTAATCACGAAAATAATGTTTGCCTTTTGTTGGTGTTCTTCAAAAACACTCCCGTGTCTTATTGTGGGCACCTAGCCTCATTTACCGGGTATTATGGGCAGATGGTTCATCCCATTGAAAGAAACCAACTCTTTAGTGGTGCCCTTTAGAACTGCCTGCTCTTTGATATTAGGCAGACACCTTTGCTGTATTGTTTCTGGTGCCCGTCAAAGCCCTTCTTTGTTCCAACAAGCCAGTCTTCCTCGGCATGTAATTTTAGCAGGTGTGTAATCTGTTTATACCGTTTTGAACAGTGCCTTTCGTAAGTATTGTTATTTATAAAATTACTGCTTATATTATATATTTTAATGTTTTGTTTTTAATGCTTGCTTTTCTTAATGAATATTTTCAATTGCCTTTTCTAAACTGCTTCGAGGTCCTTGTGGTGATGCACAATGGGGCATCCTCACTGGTGCAGGAAGAAATGAAACACATTGGTCCAGGGGGTGGGTTAAACTGGGCTACAATTTTGTTGGTTTTTAAATAATTTTATTTCTCATTTTACAAATATTTTAACAATTTAAAACACCAGAACGTAATATCAACCCCCTTCCCCCCTTTCTGCTGTTACTTACGTTATATCTTTTACCACTGTATATCCAATTTCAATCTATTTACTTGTTATTCTTTACATTCTATTTAAGTTATTCTCACTGCACATGTTTATATCAGTCCTGCTAACAATGTAAGCTGTTTACAACAGTTCTTCAAATAATCCACAAATTTTTCCTATTCATTATTAAAACATCTCTCTTCTTGATTTCTTAATCGTCTTGTAAGTTTTGGCTTTCTGTATACTCCATCAGTTTTTGTTGCCAGTCTTCCTTAGTTGGGACTGTTTCTTCTTTCCATCTCTGGACATACATCATTCAAAACTGGGCTACGTCTTTGGTCACATTAACACCATAACCTACAATATTTCCCTGATGAAAATAGGGATGTCCTATTCAAAACGATGATGATTATGATGATTATGATAATATTTATACCCTGCCCACCTGTCTGGGTTGCCCCACCCACTTTGAGCAACTTCCAACATATATAAAAACATAATAAAACATTAAACATCAAAAAACTTCCCTGTACAGGGCTGCCTACAGATGCCTTCTAAAGGTAATTTAGTTACTTATCTCCCTAGCTCACGAGGTGCACAACTTAGGGTTGCCATATTTCAAAATGTGCCAGAATTTAGACTTCTGACATGACAGTCCTAGCTTTACACCCTCCAAGATTTCTCTGATGAAATTAGGGACATCTTAAGAAAAAGTGGAGGACGCGGGTGGCGCTGTGGTCTAAACCACAGAGCCTAGGACTTGCTGATCAAAAGGTCAGTGGTTTGAATCCCCACGACAGGGTGAGCTCCAGTTGCTCGGTCCCTGCTCCTGCCAACCTAGCAGTTCGAAAGCATGCCAAAAGTGCAAGTACAGTGGTATGTCAGGTTACATACGCTTCAGGTTACATACGCTTCAGGTTACAGACTCCGCTAACCCAGAAATAGTGCTTCAGGTTAAGAACTTTGCTTCAGGATGAGAACAGAAATCGTGCTCCAGTGGCGTGGCGGCAGCAGGAGGCCCCATCAGCCAAAGTGGTGCTTCAGGTTAAGAACAGTTTCAGGTTAAGAACAGACCTCCAGAACGAATTAAGTACTTAACCTGAAGTACCACTGTAGATTAATGGTACCATTCCAGCGGGAAGGTAAACGGTGCTTCCATGCTCTGCTCTGGTGCTGGTGTTCCGTTGCGCCAGAAGCAGCTTAGTCATGCTGGCCACGTGACCCAGAAAAACTGTCTGCAGAGCGGACAAATGTGCCTCCCTCAGCCTGTAAAGCGAGATGAGCGCTACAACCCCAGAATCGTTCGCCACAGGACTTAACTGTCAGGGATCCCTTTACCTTTACTAAGAAAAAGTGGGACATTCCAAGATCAAATCAGAAACCGGGACGGCATCTGTAAATCCAGGACTGTACCTGGAAAATAGGGGCACTTGCAGGGTCTGTCACACCACACATTTAAAGCCCTATTATCCAACTCTAAACACTTCCCCCATCAAAAAATCCTGGGAGCTATTGTTTCCCCCTAAATTCCCTGGAAAGATTCCTAATTGATTCCTAATTTAGGAATCCTAAACCACTCAGAGTTGTAGCTCTGGGAAGGAACAGGGATCTCCTAACAGCTCCCAACACTCGTGACAACCTATGGTTCCCAGGATCCTTTAGCAATTAAAGTGTTATTGTAGGCTTTGTATTTCTGCTGTGAATGTGGCCTTTATTAATTGCAATCAGGTATGCTGTATTGACATTGCATAGGGCAGGGATCCACATTCAGACACCTGGCCTGCTGTTCAAATCTACAGACAGCCCACCTTCTGGGTGAGCCCCTTTGGGAACTGCTAGCATAACAGTCCCCATTGTGGTGGCATGGAGAAAATGGACAGAGATAAGCGTTTCTCCTT